AATTGGATAGGACTCCATATTGGATAAAAGATATGCTTGAACCAAATTAAATGAATAAAAATTTATACATATTTTAGAATTGTTATTTTATAAATTGACTTGATTGATGATTTATGGTTTATAGAGTTGGTATCTTCATTTAATAATTGAATTATTAATTTATATAAATATATAGAAGATACAGTTGTTAAAAATTTATTAATTTTTATAAATATATTATTACAAAATACGTGTCAATTTCTAAATTTTTTTATAAAATTTAAAGAACTTATATTATATCATTTTTAATTCATAATTTATCTATGTACTTAGTTTTTTTTAATTATTACAGTTTAAAATTTTAATTGATGTATTAGATAATTTTCATTTAAAATAATTATCATTAAAATTTTTTAACCTGATTAAAATAAGCACAAATTACACTAAAATTTTCTTTTATTTACATTATAAAAGGAAATAAAAATATCAATTATCAATATTTATGAAAAAATTGAAAATTTAATTTAATTATTTTATATAATCACAATAAATTTAAAATTTAAATAACAGTATTTACATTTTTTTCTATATTGTAACATTTTTATTAAAAAAATCCAACAAAATTAATTTAAACATAAAAGACCCATCGATCTGAAAGTTGCATTTTTCACTTGATGCGGATGTTTCATAGAAAATGAAATGATCTTGTATTTTGCATAAATTGATTTTAAAATATATAATTGCATCCTAAATGAAATAACAGGATAAACCCAATAAAAAATGTTCAAAGGGATATGAATAAAATGTAAAATCATTTTAAATTTATTTCAAAAATATTAAACGAAAAATGATTAAATAAAAATAAAAATAAAAATCTATAAATTAAAAGATTTTGTTTCATAGATTGAGTGTGTAAAATTAAAAAAAAATTGAAAAATTTTTGATATATTTTTTAAATAAATATTTTTATCGTTGAATAAGCACCGATCAAAAATGAATTATAAATAATATTTGATTTCTTTTTACATTCTTATTGATTTTTTTGAAATCCATCAATTTATCAATTTAACTTTTTTATTAAATTACTTTTTGTAGAGAATTTTTCAAATTTCACTTAAAAAGTTCATCTAATTTGGTCATTTTTAACGTGTTGGTAGAACTACTATTAAGTTAATGTTAAAATTAATAATTTGATTAAAAATTTTTAATCAATTTATTTATATTTTAAAAATTGGTATGGATTTTAAAATTATAATTTTGTTTAATTATTAATAACTTGATTCCAAGATAGTAAATAAAATATTATAAGAATCAAAACTCCAAATCTTATATGAAATAAAATCAATTCTAACTTTTTCATTTCATGTTATATCTTGATTTAGTTTACAAATTAAAGAGTATATTTATCAAATAATAAATAAAAATTATTTTTGATCTATTTTTCAAATTTTCTTATCAAACATACATTAAAAAAAAAATCATATTAACATATTTTTTATGTTTTTACTTTTCTTTCCTTAAAATTTTAATCCATTGATTAAATTAACATCAATTTTTTTGTACTAAAAAGTCTATGATGAAAAGATTTTTTTATTTAAAGTCAGAACATATCACATAGACGTAAAAAATAACTTATATTATATTTACTTTGAATAGTGTTAGGATTAATTAACTAGAACTTTACTAGCCCAATATGCAATAAATCTGTCGCGCTAAGGTTGCACTTTGTTTTGGCTTTCCATTAGCAACAATTACTTGTGTATCTTTCTTGATGAAATTGATAATAATTTTATATGTCAAAAAATCAATTATAAATCATATTGTTGTTATAATTTATAAAATTCTAACCAATATTATTAAAAATTATAAGTCATACTATTCATACTATATATTTTTGTATTTAGTTGCTATTGTTGTCTTTATTGATACCAACGGCACAATAATTTATTTTATTATAAAAAACTTTTTATTTAAGATCAATTAATTTTAAATCAGATGCCTTTTAAAAAAAAATTTATTTTATGTTTTTTATTTTAAATGCTTAATTTGATTTATGTAACATGCTTTTTTTTTTAATTTATCAATTTAAAATTTTAAGTTTAGCTTTAATTTAATATATTTAATAAAAAATTCACAATTTTAGTTACAAAATTTTATCTCAAGACCTGATTTAAAATGAACGGAAATATAAGCATACAACACTCAAAATAATAAACCCTCATTCCCTCCTTCAAATTTTGTGAAACCACGTCAATTTAACTTTCGTAAATCAAAATCGGTACTTGTTTTAGATATTAACTTCAGTAATAACATTTTCAAAAGGCTTTCTTTGCTGTGAAGTACAACTTGATTGGATTTGTTTTAAATGTTTATTACATAAAGAAATAAATATATTCCAATTGTTTTTTTCACTTAAACATTTTTCTTTAGTTGTTGACAATCTTTTTACAATTTAATTAGTCAATATATATTATTAATTAAAAATAAAAAATTAAGTCATTTCTATTATTACAAAAATGAAATTGAGCACAATAAATAATGAAATCTAAAGTACAAACTTATCAAATATTAAAGTATACTAATGAATTTTATTATTAAAATTAATTATTATTAAATTCTATTTTAATTTTAAGTATGGGTAAATCTTAGTCAGATTTTTCGATCTTGATTGGTGCACTGCATTAAGTTGATATTTAATGATTTGTCCTTTTCTCACAATCAAAGATATTAGACAACTTGTAATAACCGGCACCCTATTTTAAGTCGCATAACTTGCAATAGCAGGTATCCCATTCATGGGAAAGGGCCACCATATCATACTTTTTGAGACTTTTGACATTTTTACTTTTTATTTTTAAATTTTTAATTAATAAATTATGAAATAATGTTTGAATTTAATATAATCAAAATTTTTATTATATAATAAACTTATAAATAAATAAAATTATTATTATCTTATTGATTAAAAATTATTATTTTATTATTATATAAAAAATTAATAACTAAATATTATCTTATAAACTAAAAATAGATAACTATATCATTAATAAAAAATTAAAGAAAAAAATCATTTGATATATTATTAATTTTTAGTTTTTAATTATTTATCAATAAAATTATTATTTGATATAAAAATAATTTAATGAATTTTCAATTATTTATTAATTTTATAAATGTTAAATAATTTAAAATTTGTATTACATATAAATTTTAGTTTAATATACTTAATGGTTATTCTTTTCTAACTATAATTAAACTCACATTTATCTTTCATTTGCATCGAAATACATATATTCATAATTAATTTTAATTTTACAGATATAGTATTTAATTTTACCTTCTTAATCTCATCTAAATCAATCTTATTATCCATTTAAATGAACCCTAAATAATTTTTATTGCATTAGAAATGTCAATTTTATTCAAATTCAATGAAAAATCTAATTTTTTATTCAAATAAAAATAAAATAAATATTAAATTTTAAAAATTGAGATTGAAATGTATATGATTTTAAAACTTCTCTTACAAAATTTCCTTTAATTTATTTAAGGCTCAATTTGGATTACACTGTAACCTCGTTGCAGTGTGAGTAAGTACCTTTTTGCTATAATCTCACTGTGATTATCCATTAGAATAACTTTATTACAGTGCGATTCAGTGGAACGATTAATCTCCATTGATGAAAAAGGATGCAGGGACTCACCGCAATCCATTTTGGACATTTTTGTCCTCATAAAATTCTTTTAATTTCATTTTACCCATTCTTTAAAAATTTATTAAGATTAAAATAATTATAATAAATTTAAAATTAATATTTTGTTTCTACTCACATTATTATTTTTATTATATCTTTAAATAATTAATTTTTAATATTTTAAATATTAAATAAAATTAAAATATATATTAAAACAATTTTTAATTTGTTAATAGATTAATATCTAAAGTAATCATTTTTTTATTTTCACAAGACTATTCATATTCATTACCATTGCTTTTACATTTAAATACATATTCAATTATTAATTTTAACCTCACAGCTGCATATTTAATCTTGTCATTATAATAACTAATTTTATCATTATTATTATTTTTAATTTTACAAGAGCTAATCTCACTATCCATCCAAATGAATCGTAAATCTGTTATGTTGCACCATAATGTTAACGATTCTTATGTATCTTTCGACTTATAATGTAATTGGTGCCATGAACATATTAGAAATGGGTGGCCAAAAGAAAGATACTTTAACCAAATTAAATGAATAAAATTTTACATATATTTTAGAATTATTATTTTATATATTAATTTGACTGTGGAATTATGGTTTATAACATTGGTATCTTCAATTAATAATTGAATTATTATTTTATATGCACATATATTGATGATAGAATTTTTAAAATTTTATTAATTTTTATAAATATATTATTATAAAATACGTGTTAATTTTTTAATTTTGTTTATAAAATTTAAAAATTTATATTAAATAATAATTAATTTGTTAATTTCTTTACATACTTATTTTTTTAATTATGACCTAATGATATGTAATAATCATATAAACTCATTTATCAAGTTTAATTTGATTGATGTATCAGATAATTTTCATTTAAATTAATTATCATGAATTTTTTTAAACTTCATTTTTTATTAAAATACGTGCAAATGAACTAAACTAAAATCATCTTTTATTTAATTTATAAAAGAAAATAAAATATAAAAAATTAATATTTATGAGAAAGTTTAAAATTTAATTCAATTAATATATACAATAACAATAAATCTAAAATTTAAATATCAATATTTATAAATTTTTTTATGTTACAATTTTTTTTATAAAAAATTTAACGAAATTAATTTAAACGTAAAAGACCTGCAGTTGTTAAAGTTGAATTTTTTCACTTGATTTGGACGTTTCATAGTGACTGAATGGCTCTAATATTTTGCATAAATACCTGACCATGCCAGCCAATGTAATTTACAACAATTAACAAACAATACTTGTTGAACCATCCAAATCATGGCATCTTTCATAATACCATTCAAAGCCCTGTTCTTCCTCATAGTCGCCCTGCATCAGTCTTCCTCTGTTTTTTCTTCTTCATCCTCCATTGCTGCAAATGAAACAGAAACTCTTCTAAAATGGAAAGCTAGCCTTGACAACAACACCCAAACTTTGCTCTCTTCGTGGGTTGGAGGCAACCATTGCAACTGGGTCGGAATCACTTGCGACATGGCTGGAACCATCACCAATCTAAGCCTTCCAGATCATTTGTTGAACTTGAAAGGTACACTTCATAGTCTTAACTTTTTTTTCTTCCCTAACCTGGTGTGGCTTAACCTTAGTAACAACTCACTGTATGGGCCCATTCCCTCACATATTGGGAACCTTTCCAAGCTCACCCACCTTGACTTGTCATACAATACCTTTTCTGGGACTATTCCATCGGAAATTTCCTTATTGAAAAGTCTTGAGTTTATTTCCTTAGGACAAAATGAGATCAATGGTTCCATTCCACAAGAAATAGGGAGGTTGAGTTCAGTTTCCGTGATCTTTTTCTATAATAACCATCTAGATGGTTCTATACCTGAAGAAGTTTGCAACCTTTCCAAGCTTACTGAGCTTGACTTGTCTCATAATAATTTATCTGGAAATATTCCATCTAAAATCGGAAGGTTGACCAGCTTATCTACTCTCTACCTTCATCTAACTATGTTTTCTGGTTCAATCCCTGCTTCCATAGGAAACTTGACCAGCTTATCTACTCTCGACCTTTATCAAAATATGTTCTCTGGTTCAATCCCTGCTTCAATTGGAAACATGAGGAAGCTTGTGTCGTTAAATCTTCAATATAATCATTTATCAGGGCCAATTCCTTCGTTCAGCAATCTTACTCATTTGGAATCATTCCAAATATCGGACAACCATTTGAGTGGTCCATTACCCGAGCATGTATGCCTCGGTGGACAACTCATATTCCTTGGGGCTGTCAACAACAATTTGAGGGGTCCGATCCCATCAAGTTTAAGAAACTGCAAAAGCTTATACAGAGTTAGGCTTGACGGAAACCAGTTGACAGGAAATATATCAGAAGCTTTTGGTATATATCCTAATTTGACTTATATTGCATTAAGCAACAACAAATTTTATGGCGAACTTTCGCCGAAGTGGGGGCAATGCCCTAGTCTAACAAGCCTACGAATCTCTAATAATAACATTTCTGGAAAGATACCACCTGAGTTGAAACATGCAACTCAATTACAGGAACTAGATGTCTCCTCAAATCATCTCATTGGTAAGATTCCCAAGGAATTGAGAGAATTGACATTGATGTACAAACTTTTGCTAAGTGGTAACCAACTTTCAGGCAAAATTCCACCAGAGATTGGAGTTCTTTCAAATCTAGAACATCTTAACTTGGCATCAAACAATTTGAGTGGACCGATTCCTAATCAACTTGGAGAGTGCTCAAAGTTATTGGACCTGAATTTGAGCAAGAATAAACTTGGAGAAAGCATTCCACTTTCAGTAAGCTACATAAATGGCCTTCGAAATCTAGATTTAAGTCAGAATTTACTTATTGGGGAGATACCACAACAGCTTGCAAAATTACATTCCTTGGAAACATTGGACCTTTCTCACAATATGCTTAATGGTTCCATCCCAAATTCTTTTAATAATTTGCAAAGCTTGACTGTTGTGAATATATCTTACAATCAATTAGAAGGCCCTATTCCTAACATTAAGGCATTTCATGAGGCTTCATTTGATGCCTTAAGAAACAATAAGGGACTATGTGGTAATGCCACTGGACTAATGCCTTGTGCTGTCACTGCAACTAGCAGCGGTCATAGAAAAAGCACCAAAGTCATCATTTTCATTGTGCTTCCACTCTTTGGTCTTCTTCTTTTGCTTTTTATCATAGCTGGAAGTTTCCTTATTCTTCGCCAAAAGAACCAAACCAGAAAATCCGAGTCAATCGAGGCACAACTTGGAGATTTTTTCACATTGTGGGGGTATAATGGAAGAATACTTTATGAGAACATTATTGAAGCCACTGAAGATTTCAGCTCCAACAATTGCATTGGTTCAGGAGGCTATGGAGCGGTTTATAAAGCTGTGCTACCCATTGGTGAGGTGGTTGCTGTGAAGAAACTTCACCAATCTGAAGATAGCATGATTTCCAACAACTTGAAAGCCTTTGAAAACGAGATTCATGCTTTATCAGAAATAAGGCATCGTAACATTGTGAAGCTGTATGGCTTTTGTTCACATCCGAAGAACTCATTTTTGGTTTATGAGTTTGTAGAAAGGGGAAGTTTGAGAATGGTGTTAAGCAACAAGGACGAGGCAATGGAGTTGGATTGGGAGAAGAGGCTTAATGTTGTAAAAGGAGTGGCCAATGCCTTGTCTTATATGCATCATGACCATTCACCACCGATAATTCATCGAGACGTTTCCAGCAACAATGTTCTTCTAGATTTGGACTATGAGGCTCATGTCTCAGATTTCGGCACAGCCAGGCTTTTAAAGCCTGACTTTTCCAATTGGACCTCACTTGCTGGCACTTTCGGGTACATAGCTCCAGGTATTTATTGGTATCTTTTTTTTAAGACACTTTAAACATGTCATCATTCAATTAAAACTGTTAGTTTTGTGTGCAAATTGATGCGGTAAAACAAAGTTCAAATTGTATTATGATTGTAACTTTTCAAATTTTAAGTATCAAATTAAGAATTTTACTATAATTCAAGTATCGAATGTGTAATTAATCTTTGAAGTTTAACACTTAATTTTTCAATATTCAATATATCAAAGTGATGAACTAAATGTAAAATTTTGTTAGAACCTAAGAATTTCAATTTTCAAGTATTCTTCTAAATATTTACAATTTTTTTTCAACATTATCTTCTCAATATTCTTTATTCTTACATAATAGTGTATTGATAAGATATATTTCTCGCTTAATAGAGCACATTGATTAAATATATTTTTTTAAGCAGAGTTGGCTTATACAATGAAAGTAGACGAGAGATGTGATGTTTACAGTTTTGGAGTGCTAACAATGGAAATATTTATGGGGAGGCATCCTGGTGATTTGATTTCATGTTTACCATTATCGTCATCGGCATCGACATCGACATCGGTACCAAATGACAACCAACAAATTTTACTTAAAGATGTGATAGACCAACGTCTTTCACCACCGGTAAGACAAGTTGCAAAAGATGTTGTCTCCACTACAAAGCTAGCATTTGCATGCTTGAATGGCAATCCCCAACTTCGGCCAACCATGCGACAAGTTGCTCAAGCCCTTAACCGTCAATCGCTTCCGTTGCCCAATCCTTTCTCAATCATAATATTGGGAGAATTGTGGGATCATGAAGTTTGCAGCGGCTAATATTAAGGTGCTAATAATTTGAATAACAATTCTAAGCACTCTATTTCTTTTTCTCTTCTTTGTATTGAAAATGTTTAAGCACTCTAATAGTAAAGCTTTTGTAATGAATCGGCTATGATATAAAACAGCTGTGTTTAAGCATTAAATTTGTATATTCAGGATTTTTTATTTCTAAAATGTAACTAATGGCCAGACATAAAATTTTGACTTTCATATCAATTGTAATATTGTAGTACCGATTTGCTATAATACTTTCACTTTGGAATGCTACAGTAATTTTAAAATCGCTTTTTTATTTGTTTGAAAAAACAAAGAATACAATTGGTGAGTACACCAAATTATAGTAAACACAACTTCATGCAATAACCTTTTGATTTTTCTATTTGTTGACCATTTATTCATTGACACACCAACACATGATTTTCATAATTTCATCTTTCTAACCTTTTTTCATTTCCTACCTTTTAAATCATTCAAAATTTAATTGTAATTGTATTGAGTACACTTGAAAGGGATTTGAGTGATGATTTTGAAGTATATCTATACATTTAACTTGTACTTATTTTTTACTAAAATGCTAAAAAATGTCATACTTTTCTCACATTTCTCAAATAAATTTATCTTTTTTTAATCCAATGGATAGTACAAAGCATTATTCTTATTTAATTAAGTCTTATTTTACATAAAACTACTTAAATTCATTATTTTTATCATGTCAACGATAATATTTGTCTTTGTCAAATCAATGTTCGCATTAAAAATATAAAAAATTAAGTTGAGTTATCATTTATATGATATGTAATGGATAGCTTATATAGTAGGCCATATTAGCATCTAAAAGGCTTTTTTTTTTCAAATACATGCTATGCAGATATTGGCATCATAGAAAGAACTATGACATATATGTTGATTTGGCAAGAAATATATATATTTATATATTTATTTATTGCAGTTTTCATCTTGAAAAAGAGCTTCATGGAACAAAATTGTACTTTAAAGATTTATTTAGAGAAAAACAATATTTTAAGGACTTTATTGGATATAATAGAAGGATCGAGGATTATATGAAAAATTCAAGAGTTTATCATCACAAAGTATTTTTCATTTTTGATATTTAATTATAGCCGGGGTTTGACTGTAGTTAAATTCAATCCAAAATTTTTAATAATAATATATAGCCAATAAAATACAAAATATAATTATTAACAAAAATACAAAACATTTTTTCCCAAACTAAAATTGAGTTGAATTTAGTCCAACATGTTTTCAAATTTATCCTAACCACATTTTGACAATCATTGTGTGAGCCTAAACTATTAAATCTCAATGAATTTCCATAACTACTTTATTCTTTTCCTCCGTTTTGAATTTTTATACTATGGTAAAGAGTACTCTTGTTTGTTTATTTGGAAACCTACCGGCTTTGAAAAAATTAATTGTAAAAAAAATTTGTTCATTTCACATATAATTTTTATTGCAATTTTGTAATTACCCAATCACGAATAAAAACTTGTATAAGAGTCCACTACTTAAAAGTGTAGATTCTACATTATTTTTTTATGAACTCCACACAATGTTGAATTATAATTAATTAATTATACTATAATAATTGTAAATTATATACTCCCAAAAAAATTATACATATTTTAAGATTACAATGGTAATTTTTAATTTTATAAATTATTTTTAAAGTGTTTTTGTATCCATTTAACATTTGGATTATTATTTTATACAAAAACACAAGTAGTGGATTTTTTAAAAACTCATTATGTCTATTTAAATAATTAATCAATTTGTTAATTTTTTATAAATATACTCTATTTAGAGAAGTGAATTTTTTTATCCATTGGATAGGGGGATAGGAGATAGGAATGGTGGCGTTTGAACTCCACCTCACATGTCTTTCTAAACCTTCTTAATCATTAGATCAAAAAGTTGAAGATAAATAATCTTTCAATTTAATTTATAAAGTTTAAAAATTTTATTGCCAATAAATAAAAATAATTTTTCTCCAATAATTATATAAGTTAATTCATTAAGTTTTTTTATTACTTAATTATGAACATGTGATAAACTGAAAATCTTGTAAACCATTTTGGGAAGATTAAAATATTCACTCATATATTAGATATTTTTTATTTAAAAATAATTTCCATGAATTATTTTTCCATTAAAAAACCTAATTTGCACCAAAATTTTGATTTAGCAATAAATACATATAACTCACTAAAAATTAAGCTCAAATCACCATTTTCTATATTAAGAAATAAAAAAAATGCTAAAAAACACTTAAATCATCGTTCAACCAACCAATGTAATTAATTTCATCATTAACAAGAATTGAAAGAAATAAAGTATTACTTTGTAGCCACAAGTGAAGCCAAAATTGATTTCTTTTCAACATTTATTTTATAATCTTCTCAATATTCTTACATAATAATTAATAGTGTATTGATTAGATATATTTCTTACTAAATAGAGCATATTGATTAGATATGTTTTTTTAGGCAGAGTTGGCTTATACAATGAAGATAAATGAGAAATGCAATGTCTATAGTTTTAGAGTTCTAATAATGAAAGTTCTTTAGGGGATGCATCCTAATGATCTTCTATCATGTTTATCATCGACGTCGGCATTGGCATCGACATCAATACCTAGTGACCAACAAATTTACTTAAAGATATGATAGACCAACTATTAGGAATTTTTAAAATAAAGTATAAAAATAATCTCACATTAGAAAAAGAGCAAATAAAATAATCATTTAAATTAAGAGGAGTAGAAGTCCACTGTAGTTGGACTTAAGTGACTAATGGACCATGGGCTTGGATTTTTAAGCTTGGTAGGTCTTAGATTAATTATATAAATTAATATTAATATTTAATTAATGGCACTTGACACTGTAGTAAATAAAATATTATTTTATTTTATAATTTTTTAATGAAATGTTTAATTAGTTGAGTCTGTCCCGAACAAATAATGTTAAGTTTGTCCAAAATAAATAGAAAAAAATAGATATTCTGTACAAAATAGAAAGATAAGTTTATTCAAAATAGATAGTTTTTAATCGTTAAATAGAAAGTTTCTATCTATTTAAAATAGACAGTTATGTCTATAGAATAAACAAACACTTAATTCATTATATAAGCTCCTTTGGTTTTATAAGAAAATAGAGAAACAATTCTCAGAACTCTCCTTTTTTCATCAATTAAACTCCAGATTTCTTTTTATAAAGTTTTGCTATAAAAAATCTTATAGAAGATCAGTGATCTCTGTCTATGTCTGTAGAATAAACAAACACTTAATTCATTATATAAGCTCCTTTGGTTTTATAAGAAAATAGAGAAACAATTCTTAGAACTCTCCTTTTTTCATCAATATTTTTCATCAATATAAACTCCAGATTTCTTTTTATAAAGTTTTGCTATAGAAAATCTTATAGAAGATCAGTGATCTTATAATACGTCGATGAATGCTCGGTAGACTAATTTTGTCAGTGCAAAATGCAACCAATCATTGGGCTTCATTGTATCATAGAGGTTTATTGCTTGTAATCCCTTTACATACTTACTAAGTAAATAATACAATAGGGATGAATAAAACCTTAAGAAAGGTGGTACTATTATATGTCTTAAAGCATTGTCTCAAAATTTCTGATTTTTCAGAAGTAGTAATTCTAGATTTATAGTTTTTATTCTAACGCAATGTCTCCCACAACTAGGAAACCAAGTTGTAAAAGATGTAGTCTCTACTACAAAGGTAGCATTTACATGCTGGAATGGCAATCCCCAACTTCAGCCAACCATGCAGCAGGTTGCTCAAGCCCTTTCCATTTTCCAATCTTTTCATGACCATCAAATTGGGAAATTGGGAGCACTGTTGGTCATGAAGTTTGTGACTAATTAGGTGATAACAATTTGGATAATAATTCTAGGTACTTATATAATTTGCTTTTTCAATCTCCTTCTTTCTCTCCTTATTGTTCAAATGTTTAAGCACTCAAATTAATATATATATATATAGTTAATATTTTATACATTGATGATGAAACTGCATCAATAAATAAAATTAAAATTAGTTAAGTTCTTAAAAGTAAATTACTTTTTATATATGCAAAGTCAGTGCGTTAAATAAAAGTAAATCACTTAAATATAGTACAGGGAGTATTTAATTAGAAATTAATGTATAAAGAAAAAGAAACTAGGGAAAATTCTTTTGAGTTTTACTTTCGTAGTATTGTTGGATAGTAACATTGTGGTTTGGAAACTTTTAGTTAAAAGCTTCTTTTCCATTTATATCAATAACATATATATTTGTTGAATTTGAGGTTAGTCAGTAATTTTTATGTGACTTTTTGACCGAAAGATATATGCACTTATTATTTGCTAAATGTTCATGTTTGAAAGTTTTGTTTTCTTTTAACTATTAAAATTGTGGAATCCAAATTAAACTAACAATGAACTTACTATATTAAAACATTGAAAATTTAGTTTAAGAGTTTGAAATGTAGAAATTTCCTTAAGTTTTCATGTAAAATATGGTTTAATTAAATAAAAAAATATTTTATGATTTCATTTGGATAAAAATAAAAGGCTAGAAACCTATTTTAGAAATGTGGGAAAGTATAAATCCTCATCCCTCTTTTGTAACCAATTAAGCCTTTAAAATATTATTTTTTTGTCTAATTAAACTCTTAAAATGTATTTTTTCAATTAAACTCTTGTTTAGGATGAAAATTGAAAAAAAAAATTTCTTACCTTATCAACATCTATGCGATCGTCTTTCCAACATGTCTATATCTACATGACATTACAGGATAAAAAGGTTCTATACACTACCAACAAAACATTTATTATTCATGTATTTTTGCCGATGAAATTTTTCATCACTAATTACTGATGAATTATCGATGGAATATCGACGAAAATTTTAAACACTTTCATTGACAGATTATTGATGGATTTTACCTACGGAATAAAATTCGTAGGTAATCCATCGCTAAAATCTGGCATGAATTGCG